CACGCATACACTGCATGTGTATAATTGAAGACAAAGACAAGAAGAGCATTAAATGCTCAACAGTACGAAGACCAAAGAAAGATGGGTCGCACACACCAAATCGTGAAGATTGATCCTTGACTTGATCTTCTAGCTACTAATCAGTGAAGACAAAGGAAATTTCCATTATCAGCTCCAGCACAAGAGAACAAGAGTACACCTCATTCTGCGAATAGGATTGAATCCTCTCAACCAACGGAAGAGATCAACCTACTGGAGAAGCCTATAAAAGAAGGCATAGGCATGAGTTCTAAAACCAAGTTTTTGAGTCTTCGAAGTAGAGTAATCACTCTAAGTATTCACGAGCTAACAAGCAAAAGAGAAAGTGCCTTATCAAACTTTGCTCTCTGCTTAGACTCATGCTTCACTAAGCTCTAAGATTAGATTAACAACCGTCATATTTGAAGAGCTTAGTTCATAGTTGGAGGTTAGAACTTTCTTGTAAACGCAAGTTGTTGTAAACACTTAGGAGAACGGTTGTTCAGATCCTAAAGTGCAGTTAGATAGAAAAGAGTACCTTTTGAACCCCACTGGTTCAATAGAGAAAAGTCTAAGGACTGAGTAACCTTGAGTGGTGCTATACTCATTGTGAAAAACCTTTAATCCAGGCCTAAGTATTGTAAAGGCTGGATTGACACTAAGTGTATTGGGTTTAATACTTTAGTGAAATCCATCTGAAAGAGGGTGGGACTGGATGTAGGAGAATTACACCACCTCTGAACCAGGATACATCGTGTGTTGATTTTATGTTAGTCAACAAAGCACACAACCAACACTTCTCACAAAAAGATTGGAGTTTGCCAGCAGCATCCTAAGCAGTTGCCTTAACAGACCCAACTGCTTATCCTACTGCTTAATTACCCACTTTCTTTGAGACCTTTTTCACACAAGAAACGTGCACCAATATCACTAAAAACCTATTCGATCATTTTCCAGAAATCCATTCTCAAGTATAGCAGGTGACTCAGCAGTCCCCTGGTGTCCACCCAACTGCTGAGCCCTCTGCTCATATACACTTGTTTCTCTTGAGCATCTCAATATCACTGGACCTTCATAACATCACCAACGAGGAGGTTGACCAAACTGCTCTATGAAATTCACCCTCTAAACCAAGCAGGCACCTCAGCAGTGCCCTCATCACTGCTCAACTGCTGAGACCACTGCTCCAGTAAAACTTCTCACTACATATACTAAAGCACATTTTCAAAAGCCCTCACTATTCTTAGCAACATTTCATCATCACCTTCTTCAAACACCCAATACTTTCTCAGCAGTTGCCTCAGCAGTCTCCTGCATTTCAGTTAACTGCCAACTCAGCAGTTGCCTCAGCAGTCGCCTACCCTTCATCCAACTGCCAAGCCTACTGCCCTTCCATAATCAGTCTAAACATCACCCAGACTAGAAAGTTATCGTACACTGAGTTTCTAGAGGTTAAAAGACTTCCGTTGTGCATCTATTAATCTCCCAAAAGATTATAGATCAACTCATCTAGAAGGGAAAAGTTCTTAAAGACAAAAAAAGCTATAAAAGTCTATTCACCCCCCCCCCCCCCCCCTAGACTTTTACCTCTATCCGGGACCATCATACTTACCCCTTCATATGTCACTTTTTTCCCTTGTTCTTTTTATAGTTACTTTAACACTAGAATTTGTATTAGCGTTGTTGGTTGTTCCTTCAATCTTGGATGTTGACTGAGTGCTTGATGCTTGGTTTGGTATTTGTTTTTCTTGTGGCGAATCTACTCATTTAAATGCTTTGCATTCGGGTTGACCTCTACATCTTAAAAATCTGCATCTAGAACTCCTTATTTGTTGAGAGATGTATAACTTCATCTTGTGTGGGCAGCCCAACTGCCATACTTTTTCTCACTTTTGATGATATTAGCTATAGTTAACCACCTTTATATCAACTGTTGTGAATGAGTAGTTACATGTTGAATGAGCATTTATGGGTCATTTGTAAATATATGTTTACATTGATGGGATATTAAGTTCATATGCAGTCATTTTGGTTAGAGCAGTGCAGAGCACAGAAGACTGATTAATTAAGTTGTTCAAATAGCATTTATTGAGTTATGTAACATAGGGTGCACCATGTAAAAGTGCATCTATGACATATAATTTACTTCATTTGAAACAAATCTGATGCATAGCTCTTTGAGTTCATTGTTAAAAAAGAAATTGATTTTTAGCAGGCCATTTTTTGCATTGTAATATTTCAGCTTTGTTTTTTAGTTTACCTTCTGTTTTGAACATTTAGATCAGGTTCATGTCATACTTGTTTGTGTCAACTTTCTCTATCTGTTTTTTAATTCTACTCTTCCAGGGTGTCAAGGAGCATTTAAATTAGGCTTATGTCAAAGGTTAAATCTGGTGCTAAGTGTGCAACTAAAAGGTGGCCAGGATGTATGTGCTTTGTATGAGAGCATTAGCCTCTACGTTATGTTGCTTCTCATTAGGCTGTATTATTTTTTATTGCAGGGGCATTGTTGTCTTTTAAAATTGTATTTAACTATAACTAACAGGTTGTTGAATGACAGGGTGCATATATTAATGTATTCACATATAGGGTGCAAAGTCCAATTTCATTAATGAAACAGGGTGTGAAGTCAAATTTTCCCTTAAAGGAATGGGAGAAGACGGGTAGGCAGAGGTAAACATGTTTGTTGACCCGCAAAACCGGTTTCATGACTTTTTTTCATTCAAAAACATGTATCTTGAAATAATTTGAAGGCCATTGTTCAATTTGTAGTTAAAATCGTGTCCACAGGAACAGATTGTTCAAAGAGCCATCGTCAGTCGTCCTGTTCAAGGACCCTCCCATCGTCTTATTCAAGGGCTCTCCAGTCGTCCTGTTCAAGGGCCCTCCCCTCGACCTGTTCAATAAATTGGACTCGTCGCAGGGCCCTCCAGATTGTCCATAGGACCGTGTAAAGGCTGAAATTGTGTATTATTTCCTTGTTGTTCCAGAACCGCCCCTTGCTCTATCTTTCGTGGAAAGCCTTCTAAGTGTTTGTTGATTTATTGTTAAGATGTGGGGTTCTATCCTGAAATGTCAATCTGATAAGAGGAGTATCCCAAAAGCTTATTAGTGTTTTATTGTTCTGTATTTTTCAGTGTGAGACAAATACTTTAACACGCACCCTGAGCTCGAATTGGGTTGAACAATATCGGGGTGTATAAATGGGTCAAACAGACCTTTAACAAGCTACCCTTAATCATGGGTGTTAAACAAGCTGTCAAACCACAACAAGACTTGGCTCTGATACAATTTCAAAATCTGAGGTTCCATCCTTAAAGGTCAATCTGATGGGTCTGATGGGGGGAGTAATCCACATCTTAATATAGCACTTAATGTCTTTACAAATATCCGGTGTAGGAATTCAACACCTCTCCTCACGACCAGACACTTTTTCTGGATTGTGGTGTCATTCATTTTTTTCATCGATTCATTATTGTCATTTTTTTATAATTATGTCAATCATTTTTCATAAGGGGGCCCACACCATGGATCAATTTGGCTTTGATGTCATGTTAAGATCCGGGGCTCCATCCTAACAGGTCAACCTGATAGGAGGAGTAACTCTTATGTAGTGTTTTATTGTTTTATAGTTTTTTCCGGCGTGGGACTAATACTTTTACAGATGTGAAATCACCAAATAATTGATATTTGTTAATATGGTTACTTATTTGATATTAGTGCTGGACTCGGGCCGGGCGGCCCGGTTACTATTTGGCCCGGCCCGGCCCGGCCCGGGGCCCGGTGGGTCCACCGGTTCGGTTCGGCCCGGCCCGGCTGCTGGGCGGTTCGGGCCCGGGCCCAGGTTTTGGTGAACCGGCCCGGCCGGTTCGGGCCCGGTCCGGGCCGGATTTTAATTTTTTTTTTTTTTGAAATTTTTTTAAGTTTTAGGTTGGATTAGGTATTTTGGGCCATTTGAGGTGGTTTGGGATGGTTTGGGGTTGAGGGGGAGGGGTAGGAGATTAAATAGGAGAACAAAAAAAATAATTGGGCCGGTTCGGCCCGGCCCAGCCCGGCCCGGTTTGGCCCGGAACCGGCCACCGGCGGTTCGGGCTCGGGCCTCCCTTTCCTGGCCCGAGGCCCGGCCGGGCCCAGGCCCGAACCGGGCCCGAACCGGCCCGAGTCTAGCACTATTTGATATATTAATATTAGTTTTTGATAAATCAAATGACTGAATTCTTGGTGAAATGTCGTTATATCAATTTTGTTATATAGTCAAATAGTTGGTATTATTGAAAATCATTTCAAAAGTATGTACTTATTATCTTTTGTTGATGAAAGATAAGCTTGTATTATTCTAATTATGAGCTTACATGTTACAAAGTGCACAATTTTCAAAGAATTGGGAGATAATACTGGCGAAGGTTCGATCTATTAAAGTTCCTGACTATTGACATTAGTTTGTACCGATAAATATTGACAAATGTGTAAGGATTTTCAAATATTCGTGTCTTAATCTTTTCACACTATGAATTGGACTACCTATGTACGTATAAGCTAACCTTTAATTCAGTAAAAAGATAAAATATATATGTAAAATTTATTGGAACATCTTTATATTAGTCAATAGTCAAGCCTAGCTCATTTTTCCTTATCTATGTGCATTTTTTCTCATTGTTCAGATTGTATGGAGGATGTTTTACGGTTTTACCAAACACGAAAATTGATCAACAAGCTAAGACAACAAATCGAATGAAGCTAAGGGAGTGAAGTAGTGAACTACCTATTGAGTTTATTTGGAATCAGCTACGGACTAGCGGTAGGTGAAAGAAATAAATGTTAGTTAATTAATTAAGATTATACTAGTAGAAGTTTTAATGATAGGTACTCATAACAATAATAATACTATCACACCCATCTCGGTGAACTTTGTTAATTTAAAATTAGGTGATAAATAAAAAAATGTAAATTATATGGTTAATGTTTGTGCATAGAACAAAAAATGAGCAAAATCACAAATTAATTACTTTAGTAAAAAAGTGCAAAAGTTTTTTGTGACAAGTACAAGAGGAAAATTGACACAACCCAACGGGATAATGAACGGTTCAATCTCAAATATTGCACATAATGAGTGGAATGTAGTAGTGTGCTAGTCTCATCTAGCTAGTTTTACCAATTTGCTCCGTATATATTAGTCGTATAGTAGTATGAAAAATTACAAACAATTGAGTTTATAACTTTATATTTTAGCATATATACGATCAAAAACAAATGTGAGAAAATGAAGGAAAAAAGAATTGACGGGAGTGTTTGGATCGGGGTCGTCGCTTGTTACATTCGACTACTAATGCCCACTGTCCCCAACTTCTTCGCCATTCCTCTCAGCTCAAATTTCTGAACTTTTCCGGTGGACGTCTTGGGAAGCTCTTCAATGAAAACCACTGTTTTCGGCACCATATAATGCGGCAGCCTTTCCCGGCAGAACTCTATAATGTCATTCCCGGTCGGCTTCTCCCGCTCAGGGCAATTGTTGATGTTTGGGTGTAGAGCTACAAAAGCGCACGGCGTTTCTCCCCAAAACTCGTCCGGCCGAGCCACCACCGCCGCCTCAAACACCGTCGGGTGTGAGTAAAGAACCGACTCCACCTCCACACTGCTCACATTCTCCCCGCCGGTGATTATGATGTCTTTCGACCGGTCCTTGATTTCCAGGTAGCCGTCGGGGTGCATCACCCCGACGTCTCCTGTATAGAACCAGCCGTCTTTCAAGGCCTTTTTGGTCGCCTCGGGGTTTTTAAGGTAACCCAACATTATAGAATGTCCTCTGAGGACGATCTCCCCCACCGTGACCCCGTCCCGCTTCACGCTCTTCCCGGACCCCTCCTCCACCACATCCACCGCCATCATCCCGAGAGACCTCACCCCTTGTCTCGCCTTCAGCCTCGCTCGTTCCTCCGGTGTTAACCCGTTCCATTTTGGCTTCCACGCGCAGGAAACCACCACTCCCGAGACCTCTGTCAGCCCGTACCCGTGGTTCACGATGAATCCGAGTGATTCGATACGTAGAACCACGGACGCCGGCGGCGGAGCGCCGCCGGTGAGGAATCTGACAGGGGACTTGAGCGGCTTGGCTAGGGGAAAATTGGCCAACATGTTGAGTACCACCGGCGCGCCGCACATGTGTGTAACGTTGTACTTCTCGATGTGCGAGTAGACCGTGTCGGGTTCGACTTTTCGAAGGCAAATGTTGGTGCCGCCGACCGCCGCCATGCCCCAAGTGAAGCACCACCCATTGGAGTGGAACATGGGCAGTGTCCACAGGTAAACCGGCCGGTCCGGGACGAACCAGGTTATCAAAGAGTCAACGGTCATGGCATAGATTGACCGGTGGGAGTGGACTACTCCCTTCGGAGATGAAGTGGTGCCGGAAGTGTAATTAAGTGTGATCGGATCCCATTCTCCCGCGGGTCGGATCCATTCGAATCCGGAATCTCCGGTTTCCAACAACCCCTCGTAAGTATCGTAGACGGATCCGTCAATTTTTTTGTCGATTTTGACTTTGTCTTGACCGTCTTCGATTAGGACTAACAATGGGCGTTGACCGTTACGTGGCAGCATAGAAATTGACTCGAGAACCAGAGGGTAAAACTGGAAATCGACGAAGACAACCTTAGATTCGCCGTGAGAGAGGATCACGGAGATCGTCCGGGCGTCAAGACGGGTGTTAATGTTGTTGATAACGGCGCCGGCCATCGGGACGGCGAATTGGAGCTCGTAGGTTGCCGGGATATTGGGGGCGATGACGGAGACGACATGGCCACTCCCAGGGCCGAGGATGGAGGCGATGGCGGAAGCGAGGCGGCGGCAACGGGTGTAGGTGTCGGACCACGTGTAGACGGTGGAGTTGTGTACGACGGAGGCGCATTCGCCGTAAATGGTGGAAGCCCGTTGGAGGAAGGATAACGGCGTTAACGGACATGAATTTGGGCGGCTTGGTTTCAATTGGTCCATAGAGAAGGAGTTATTGCCGGGTGGGTATGAATTGTAAATGAATGGAAGTTTGAGGTATAAATAAGTAAATGCCGCGTACGGGGCAATGGGTACTTACCTGATCCGAGGTAATTAATATGGGCAGCTTCTTCGTCGGTGGTTTAATTTCAATCATGCTTTGCTTGGTTACTAATAGGTGCCGTGGAAATATTTGGTAGTCCATACATGAGTGATCTAAATATTTACTTGTAATAATATACCTCCGTCCCGAAAACAACTTCCCGGTGGACTTTCACACACTTTTAGGAAATAAATTTGACTTTACTGTAGAATGCATTATTTTGCACTGTTTAAACACTGTTTGGCACTGTTTAAACACTGTTTGGCACTATTTAAACACTGTTTAGCACTGTTTAAACACTGTTTGACACTGTTTATCACTTTTTTATGTAGATAATTTGTCAAATAAGGAAAGTATTGAAGTGTGAAGTTAATTTTGGGACATCCATTTAAGGAAAGTGGGAAGTTGTTTTCGGGATGGAGGGAGTAATAATTAATTAAAATGTTGACAATATACATACTCGTAATAAATTTGGGGTTGTACTATTGGGCGGTGCAGTGGCGGAGCCAGAAAAATGGTCGAGGGGTTCGAAAATCAACTATATACAAAATGAAAATGGTGGATTGTTATAGACAATGTCCGAGTTTAATGTTTCATATGTACTTTAGATAAGGGGGTGTTTGGATCTGATTCTCAAAACTGATTCTGCTCCTTCAGGGAGCAGAAGCAGAAGCTGGAGTGTTTGGGTGAAATTCCAGAAGCACTTTTGGAGCTCTAATTTATTCTCAGAATCAGTTTTTTTAGAAGTTAGGGGATACCAGCTTCTGAAAACTGATTCTGATTCTGCTTCTGCTTTTAAAAAAGAAGCAGAAGCAGAATCAGTTCCAAACACCCCCTAAATAGACACTCGTAGCAATTAGATAGTTGCCTTTGCTCTGTTTTTTAGTAATGTCACATAAGTAATGAGTTAATTATACGCTACTTTAAAATTTTGGGAAACTAATCCATATTACGCATCAAGTTTTGTGATTTTACGTTTAGGTAGCACTGATCTTCTAGAAGTCATAACTTTTTACTCGTAATGAGTTACGGGGGCCATAATATATCAAATCGAAAATATTTCAAAGCTCTATATTCTCAAACTTTCAGTGGGGCCGCCACTACTCGAGGGCGGCTGTGTCACTGCCTGCTGGTGGCAGATGAGGCATTAGCCGGAACTAGCTAGTGGTATTAAGAGCATTTTAAATTAAAGGTTATATATATGCCAGAACTAGTCTCTTGTTTTTTAATTTAAAACCCGTTTTGATTTTTGTCATTAGATTTCTATAGTATTATTATTCATCTCAAAACTTATAATCTAAAATCTCATGATTCTTTATTAAAATAAGATTGAAATGTAATAAAAAAAAGGGGGGGTTGACAAAAATGATGCTAATAGAGATTAGGTGGACAAAAATGAGATTAGTTTTAAGAATTTCCAGAAAAAGAGAGTAACATGACTTTGAGACTCTTAAAACTAAAGTAATTATTACGAGCTGGAGTGATCTTGACCAAATCCCTAGTGACCAATTGTTGTTCAATTCAATGATCAACATTGAATAGTGATCACTTTAATTTCGGATAGTAACTACCGTTGATTAGTGACCGCCGTTGAGCATCACCGCCACCATTGACCTATTTTTTCTGATAACTACCGCCCTGGTGTCTCGCCACTGGTGACAACCACAATTACTCGCCAAAGTGATCAAGCGGCAATATGACCATATACCAGTGACTCCATTGCCATAGTTACCCCAGTGACACTATGACGGAGTGCACTGATGAACAAGACATTATTTCTTAGTGTGTGCCACACTTTTTTTTTTCAAAAAAAGGAACATGACACTTATTTTGAGACAACATAAAAAGAAAAATAAAGACAGATAAAATGTAACACTTAATTTGATCGAAAGAGACCAACAAGATATTGTGGCGAAGAAAGACATGTGGAAGCCAAATGCCAAATTTAATTGAAAGTCGAAAGAGACCATCAAAATATTGTGACGACGAAAGAGATGTGAAAGCCAAATCCATTTATGACTAAACATCCAACTATACATATTTTATGGGGTTTGAATTATATGTGCCACTGAATGGGGTGATTGATGCCTTACTATTGTGACTAAATACTATCCATTACTGATATATTGGATAAATGATCTTCTGATTTTTTTTGGCAATAATAATCTTCTGATATTAAATGCTGCGCATTAGAAGTAAACAAAAATGGTTGGGTGGTATATTATTCATTAATCCAAAATTAATGAGTCTACTTAATTAAATTGATTGTTTTAGCAAGATAAGGGAATTCGATTGAGCTCCAACGGTGCCAGCAGATGGATGAAGATATAGTTGCTCCCCTAGACTTTAATTTAATCGTGTCACGCGATAGATAGACAGATTTAGGTGAAGTTTTTTTTGTTAAATAACACGGAGTAGCTAGTATGAATTAACTTGCTAGTTTGATGAATGGAGTAGAATGTTTTTAGCTGGATTAATTTCAATCTCAAATCTAATCAGATCAGATAAAGGTAATTGTAATATAAATATAACATAGATATCTATCGGACGTAACCTAAATCAGTTCAGACCAGATTTACACAAATTAAATCATGCGAGACCTGATTAAAAATTTACATTTCAATTAGAAACATCAAAGTACCATGTTTAGTTTGAGGGACGTCGATGAAAAAGGGAGCAACTTTCTCCAAGGCTCTTATGATTGTCTAATATTCTAGAATTGATAATAGGAACACAATTGTATGTAAATAACTTCCAATAAATTTTCAAAATAATATATATAAATTAATATATTTGGCTTAGCTATATTTAGATCAGTATTAGTTGTCTTCAGATGCCCTCACGTGCCACACAATGTAACATTATAATATGATCTTATTCTTCTCTTCCTTATGGCCAAAAACAATGGAGGAGCTATAGAGAATAGCTATTTGTATAAACTTTTATACATGCTGATACACTCATCGGTGAACGAGCTAGCTACTTCGTACATGTTCATCGATGTTAGAAAAGTCACACGGAGTTTTTAGTACTACCCCCGTTCCTAAAAATTCTTCCCGATTTGACTTGGCACGCCTATTAAGAAAGTGGAATAAAGTGGAAATGTGTGGTTGTGTGAGAAAAGGGTAAAATGAATGTGAGCCACACAAATTGTCCAAAAAGGGAACGTGAGAAGAATTTTTGGGAACGGCCCAAAAAGGAAAGTGGAAAATATTTTTGGGAACGGAGGGAGTAGCTAATATGCCCTTTTATGTAACTTTAAACAATTTTGTCGCAAAAGTAAAACTTATAGCTGAAATTTAGGGCTTCTAGAACCAAGTAGACTAGGATTAGTTGTTTGATTCCTATACAATTAATGACGCGCTAATGATAAAGACCTCTCTTTAAGAAAACCGAGTTGAGAGGATTTTGGATAACTCCGGTACCCTTTTAAAAATGGGGTACCGTACCTACCATTCATTTGATTGGATCACATCATTTTATTATTTTTAATTTAGATTTAAATAATTCAACTGCTACATTCTCATTGCTCCATGCGGACAAATGTATAATACCTTATGGATACCATAGAATAGTGAAGATGTAAGGTTGGTCCCATTTTGGCTTGACGACTTCACTAATTACGGAGTATGGTATCTGTTGAAAAGTGAAGCTCTAATTAAAGTTGGAATGAATTAAATTGATTGAGTATTATTAAGCTTATTAATAATGGTTGTCTGTCTGCTTTTATCTTCTTTTGCTGGCAAACATAAATGCTAGGGGAGAACATTTTTGCCCTACAAATCTACAATAGGTGTTATCCGTTGAAGCGGCCCTTCAGGCTCACGGTACCCACTTTTATATCCACTTTTGTACCCACCCATATTTGTGAAGTAATTTTTTTTTCTGTGAATTCCTTCACAGACAAAATATGTCTGTGAAGGAATTCAAATACATATTTTGTCTGTGAACCGGCCTCACAGACAAAAAAATAGCCTTCACAGAGGTGGGTATAAAGTGGGTACAAAGTGGTGGGTACAACAAGCATGGTTGCGCAAATTATAGCCTGAGATAGGCATATTCGGGTGTTTGGTAAATGGCGTTTCAACCGAAAAATGGCGGTTTGACCACTTTTAGCGTTTTCGAAAAGTGAAACAGTTGTTTGGTAATCAGCAGTTTGGCTCTAGCGTTTTTGGACGGAAACGCTGAAATGAAAACGCTGCTTATAGGAGAGTTTTGGAATGACGTTTTGATAATGACGTTTTTTACTAATTTTATGGCCAAACAGCTAAATTATCAAGGGGTTTGTCCTCAAATAATACTAATTAAAAGCATTTGGACAAAAAAAGAGACTTTTCTTTTAAGTTCCAAAAATAAGACTAAATAATACTTAAGAGACTGTTACACCCTTACTTAGCCCAAACCCACTGGCCTGCTACAGTAACCCGTCACAGTGACCAATTGTGCAGTGACCAATGACATAGTTACAAAATTCATCCAGTGACCAAAAATTAATACGTCCCACCAATGACCCGCATCACAGTGACCAAATATGCAGTGACTTTTGTCCAGTGACCAATTGACAAAGTGACATCCGCTCCGAGATCAACTTTTATAGTGATTCCAACTGACCCGCAAGTCACGGTGACCAACCTGTCGTCGGCCACAGTGACTTGCCAACTGACCTCGCCAACCATAGTGACCACCACCAACAACAGTGACCAAACAACAGTGACAGTGACCACCACTAGTCATTGCCGCCAACCACCGCTGACCACCGCCAACCACTGCGCCCAGTGACATTTTTTTTCTGGCGACCACCACCTTTCCCTCCGCCCCTGCTGACACCCCCATTCTTCCTCCTACACTCCCTCAATGACGTACCAGACCCACCCCTTGTAACACCGTCCCCAAATATATTTACTTTTATGTAAATAATGTATTGAACCTTATTAAAGGAATAACGAATTTACGAAGTTGTAAATTTTATTATTTCTTTCACGTGAATAGTTAAATTGCACGTGGGACCCACACCGGGAGCGGGGCCGCCCGACATTCCCGAGACCATATATCTTATTCATCTTGGTCTAGATAATAAATATATAGTGGTGGATATTTCATCTGGACCATGGAAAGGCCCAGAGTTGACCGATTGGTTAAAAGTAGCCCAAATTACCGGTACTGGTAATTTAACTGATAACAGCCCGAACTGAATTTTGGAGGCTTATAAATTTAAGTTTTGGAATATATATTATTTCAAAAGGGAATTATGATTGAGAACACATAATATATTTTATTTTACTCGATAAAATAAAATATGATTAAAACAGTCCGAAAAATACAACTTTCGGGGCAAATTGTACACTTTGGGACAAAAGGGGATGACCTCCCACATGGGTGGGGGCCACCCCACGAAATTGTCAACCAATGTGGGTTGATTGAGAGCTAAATTGACTGAGGTATACTTGAAGGGATGGGGGAGACACCATTGACATCCAATGGACCCCTTTCTCACACCCTTTTGTCAAAAGA